ATTTCTTTTCTTATTTCTTTTCTTTTTAAATTTCTTTTTAAATTTTTTTTGCAATAAATTTCTTTCCCCCACCTTGTACTGTAGATAATAATTAGTAAATATTATAAATAAAATGTTGAAGGTTTTAATTCTATAATTTCTACACTTAATAGGAACCAAGTCCTTGGATTAGACTCTAGGTTGTCCCTATACTACATTAATAGGGAATTTAGGTTTGTTGAGCCATCACATTGCCAGAGATGGAGAAGGAGAATTCGGTGGAGAGGGTGGTAGTAGCGTCGACAAAGACAAGGGGCTCGGGGACACGAAGGAGACCGGAGGAAGAAAGGGAGGGAATTTTGAGGCGTGGGGGCAGCATCGTTGTTGGCGACTACGTGGGTGTCGCCGAAGAGGTTGATGCTGTTAGGGTCGAGATTGGGGGATTGCGTGGAGGAACTGGAAGAACCCTTGAAGGTAGCGTTAACGGACCTAGAACTGCAGGTGTTGGGTGTTGCAGTGTGGAATGGATTGGGGCTGATGGAACACTTCGCCGGCGAGATCCAACCGCGAAATCTTTCCGACAGTCGAGATCAGCGGGTACCGGAGGAGAAGAGGCCGCCGCGGTCTGTGGGGCGATTCTGGAAGGGTTTTAACTCCCTTTTCACAATCTCTGCTTCTTGGTTTAGTCTTTTGGTAAGGACAAATATAAAAATGTTACATATCTACGACGCCATGAAAAAAAATTACAGCTCAACATCTATTTAACGTTGTATGTGCAAACTTAACGGAGATGACTTAATTGAATCAATTTTTCAAATATTTGGACCAATTGGCTCATTTTTACTAGTTTATGGACCCGATTGAGACTGAAAAAAATGAGGAGGACCAAATGAGGGTTGAAACCTACAATTATTCTATATCATAATTAATTATCAAATTAATATTTAAATGAATATTAATTTGATTTCTAAAATAAAAAAATACAAATTATAAATTATAATATACCAAAATGATGATTCGAAACTAGAATGCAAAAGAACAAACTAAAAGTATTAAACGGTCGATCTGAAAAACTAAACAAAGGAATTTAATCTCTTTAATTAAAGCACATTAATCTACATATAAAAGTTTTTTAATCAACTATACACGGGATCTAATTATGGGTTATAATTAGATCACAAGTCCAATTACAAAAAGTTTAAACTAAAACTAAAACAAAGTTAAATGAAAATTATAAAAAATAAAGTGAAAGTAAAAATTCAATAAATAGGTTACGACAACAATATCATAGAAAACATTGAAAAAAACTATTGACAATTTAAAATGAAATATAAGATTTATATACTAATTTTTACAAAACCTTTAATATTTTTTAGATTCTTCTATTTTGAATCAGTATAAAATTTTTACTTGTTTACTTGTTTAGTATAATTCTATTATTTACTTGTTTTTAGTTTAAAGGAATAATTTTTATTCTGTAATCACTTCTTAAAAAGGTAAACTTTTTTAAAAGGCATAATTTTTATCAAATAAACCAGTCCACTAGTTTTTATCTTTATATTCCACTACTTTTTTCTAACCGTTATTATTAGTGCATTTATCTTTGTTTATAGAATGTTATGTTATTATAATTATTCAACAACAAAAACAATGATAGTTTTTTTGTTAGCATACGTAACATGCCAAAAATATAGTATAACTATATAATAGAGTCATCATATAAAATAATACAATAGATTAGTCATCTACTAAGTAATAAAGTATTAACAATACAATTATCCTAAAATAATTATAAAAAGTAAAACTTTACAGAATTAAGCCTAAGGAACAAAACTATGAACACAACCGATCGGTCCTGATCTAAACCGATGGGTCCTCTCTGTCCAGAGCCTGCTCCATGGAAACCTCACAATCCTCTACTCAAATCTACCGGATGATCATGACACAGAAGAAATGTCGAACGTGCAACATAGCAAAACAGAAAAGAAGGGTAAACTAATGTAATTTAATAGTTATGTGAACATACAATCCAAACATACCAAACAGATAAAATAATAAAACACAAGTAGAAAAACATATAACACATGTTGACCGACCACTTGAACTGACCGTCCAAACTAGTATGAATATGTAGCTTTGGTCGTTCGTGCACTCGTGGGTGTAGTAATTGGAAACCCATCAGCTGCCACACGAGGTTAACTCGTTATCACTCACCGTAAGACCCCCCCTCGGCTAGGGCCTTCTGCTATTCTCACAACATGACTTACCCATGTCTACTTGAGGCTTGATAATCATTAGAATGTCAGGATGAACGATGTAGATTTCGCTATCCATATTCATATTATACCACCACTTTGCTTATCCGATCACTGAGACATTTCTCCTTAGAATTCTCTTTCATACCATTTGAAACATCATACTTTATTTGAATTTTAATACAATAGCTCATACAAGATATATCAATACAACTCTAATAATCAATCCGAACAAACCAATGAAATCAACAGTTAAAGACCGAATAACATTTCATAGAATAGAACCGAACAAACAACAACATAACCTTTGAGTACGACCGAACGGGAAAACCCAACAAAACCAAGGAATATGACCGAACGGAAAAACATTCACAACATGTGATCATGATCGAACGGTCCTTTAACAAGAAATGCTCGAACAAGATCCTAAAGAAATTGAAGGGGCGAATCGCTAGAACAACCGAACACCATTACAAGACCTAACTCTAGCTAAACCGAATACTAGTACGAAACTGAACTTATGACTAAACCGAATACTATTAAAACCAAATGTTAATATAACACTGAGTCCTACTCAAACTGAACACTAATACAACATCAAGTACTTCTAAAACCGAACGCGAATACAACATCGAACACTACTAAGACTGAACGAGAATACAAAACCAAATATAGCTGAGATCGAACGGGAATACAAAACCTAACAATTGTACGAAACCTAGCACTACTAAATTGCACGCTATTACAGAACCGAGTACAACTAATAACGAACGCTAATATCAAATCAAATACTGCCAAGGCCGAAAACAAACGTCAGCACGAAACCGAACAACCCTAAGACCGAATACTACTACGAAACTGAATACTTGAACCTGACCGAGCGGTCAACAATGAAAGCTCGACATTATGCATAATGCTGCAGAACTTCTGCAGAATGAAATACACACTGGAATTTACCAAAATTGAATATTTTTCTCAACCCAGAATTCCTTCCAAGGTATGTATAATCTACAACTCAACAATCACAACATTTAACATGTCAAACAAACAAAGTCGAACACCCAAACATTCAATTTCACCCACATGCAAAACCATCTAACCACGTTTTCATGCATCATCAACCAAACAATTAAATTAACTAGCTACCCTTACCTCTTAACCAAACCGAATGACTTCTACCCTTCCAGAAATTTGATCACTTCTAGAAAATCCTAAGAACACCTATAACTCACCGATTGGTGAGAAGAGACCAACCAAAGTACCAAAAAGGGAGTTAGAAAGAGAAAGAGAAGGCTGATGAACACATGCAAATAGCAAGGTTTACTTGCATGTGCCAGAAATTCCAGAAATTCACAAGAACTAAAGGAATGAAACTTACCAGCTCTAATCACTACACCGATCGGTGAAACAGAAATATCTTGTCTTCCATATTACTTATGCACGGTCTGATCGTTAAAATGATGAAATGAGATTGAAAAACTTTAGAGAGAAGGAGGATAAAAGGAAGAGAGTATAAGTTTGGAAGAGATAGATATATCAAAGGAAACAAAATTTTTGATTATTTTAGTAATAAACGCTTGGTCCCCTCTGCTTACACCTGACTGTTCCATTTACTTGGTTCTTACAAAACGTGAGCGCGTACATACATACATACATACATGCATACATACATACATACATACATACATACATACATACATACATACATAACCGCACATTATTATTAAATAACATATTAACTATTATTTACTTTTTCGTTATTATTTAATAGATTGTTATTATTATCTCAATTAAGAATTATTCTAATAAGAATAAAGAATAATCCAAATTGATGCTATAAATATAACAATAACTTTTAAAAAATACTCATTTTATTACACTTAATATTTGATATACTCTCATATAATAAATTTTAACTCTTTTACTCACTTGAACATATAGGATCTTTTGCTTATGATATTCTCTTCTAGTTGACAATTTAAACACAAATATTGATTTTAACACAAGCATAATTCAAAGCCAAAAGAAATGAAAGAAAATTCGATGGAAATGATATCTCATTGATACATTATTATGTTGTTCCCAGCCCAGGCTGATCCAGCAAAAATATTAGATTTAGGGTAGTTCACAACCATGTCACAATCTTTGTTTACACTAATAAACAATTAGTATCACATCATCCATGCGAGTTACACTAGGACACAATATGAGAATTAAGAATGAAATTATTATAGGTCTTCTTCTACCCGTTAGAGTCCTAAACTTAAGCCACACCCATGCTTTTTTTTTTTATTTCTTTATTTGGGCATCTGGCTAGAGTCAATCAAAGAAAAATTAAAATTAAAATTACTAAGTGATTTAGATAGAACAAATTAAACCAAAATATATAAACCCATAACACATCACCAAATAAATATAGAATTTCTCTTTGCAAAGGTTAACTTAACACTTAGAGTTTCCCTCTAAACCTATGACAAATAATATAAAACACATAAACAAAGCTTAAGCTAATTTCATTTTTCACCTTCTCAATCATGACCCGAAACTAACATTAACAAGTAATGGCTATGAGAATTTGATTCTCATAATTGGTCATCTTTGCAATTAGCGTGGATGGCGTTTTCGGCGCGGAGTATTTAGCAATAGGAAAAATACCTTTGGGTTGAAAAAATGGAGGGGCGCTCTAAATGTTAGGCCCATTGGGTCGACGATTGGGCCCATAGATAAGAATGCCGCGGCGTATATTTCGAAAATCTACAATTCAAAGTTGAAACCCGCTTTTACCCGCCCCAGAATCTTTGCGTTATGGGTCACTCACTTTCTTCTCGCGCTAATTCGAAAGAGGGAACGAGCGAGTCTTACTAACCTTCTTCTTCTTCTTCTTCTTCTTCTACTCTCTAACCCTAATCCCAACAACTTTCAAATTAGCTTCCGGGTCCTCTTCCATTTCACAAGGTCAATTCATCTTAACCCAATTCTTTTTCTTTACTCTGTGTACTCTTGTGGTTAGGGTTTCAAATAGGCAAATTCACTGATTCCGTTCAAGATTTTCCAATATCGTAATTTCATGGGAAGCAACCATGATTCAAGTGACGGCCTTTTCAAAATCCGTCCCCGTCTGGCGGATGTCACCAATTGTCCCTCGAAAAGGCCGTTTTCTTTAGTCTCCAGCGGCGGTGGGGACTCGCAGTTCACAAAGCAAATGCGCTTAGGTGTAGAAAGTTTAGCCAAAAGCAAAATCCAAATGCAACTAGGAGCACATTCTCAGCTTAACAAGGAGGTCTTATTGCAACCTAAAGAAAACCAACCCATTTTGTTTCCGTCTTGCGATGATACTTCAAGCTCGTGTCAGAAACCGGGCTCGCCCAGTGAAGGATCGGAGGAGAAGAATCCGTTGGGTATGAAGAAGTGTGAATTTGGGGGGAAGGTTGAAGGAATTGCCCCAACCGATTGTGCTGTTGAAAGCGGGGACAAGGATATTTGTGTTGCTGAGAATTCCGGATCTCCCAGGTGTCGGGCCGTGCAAATGCCGTCAATCTCTGCCTCTAATGATTCTAATTTTCGGGGGTTGAAACCGTGCTCTGGGCATAAGGGCGATGGAGCATCGAATCCTGTTACTGATGCTGCGGACATTAAATCTTGCACTTGTTCCTTATGCTCTAAAGGTTGTTAGAGTTTATCTGTATGCATCTAATTGTTGCTCTTTTTTTTTTGTCAACTAAAATTAGAGCTTCATATTACTTGATAAAGATTTGCATTAAAGGTTTAAATAGTTACTCAGGTGAACTCTAATTTTGATTGAAGAACACCGCCAAAAGTCCTTAAGGAATTGTATCTAGATTTTTCCTATTTTACATTTTTTTTATTTAGTATGTAATATTGGGTGTTGCTTATGTTGATCACTAGCTGCTTATATCTGGTCGGATCTCCATTACCAGGATGCCAAGGGTAGATTAAGTGGTAAGTTCTACTAACCATTTTAGGAGTTTTGTTCTGATAGATTCAAGTGTCATTGTATTATTTCTTCTAGCATTGAGGTTTTAAATGCTCATCCTTTCCTCTAGCTATAAAGAAGAGTCAGAAAGAAGCAAAATTGATCATTCAGAAATTTTCTGGATTAGAGGATACAGTCATGCATGGCCAGCACCAAAGTGAGGAGTCATTAAACTTAGAATTGTCCCTTGTGCATCAGTGGAAGTCGCTCTTTGTTCAAATGCAGAATATGTATGCCCAAGAAAGTAGCCAGCTAGTAAGTTTCAATGCTATCACTTACATGGTTTATTATTTTAATCGTGCTGGAATTGTTGGTTCCGTTGCCATACAAGTTTCTTAATTGAATTTTCTATGGTTTTGCACCATCCATTTTTCCATTTGCTTTTATGAAGAGTGTAAACTACTCAAAATGTTAACTTGTTTTATATGGAGGCGAGTGTTAGAGGTTTAATTTGGTAGTTAGCTTGATTGGTTAATTTCTTAATTGTTAGATGCTATTGAGTTCTATTAATAAAATATGTCCCACACATTGTTTTATCCCTCATTTTTATTTCCAATTTATGGTTTTCACATTCTCTGTTTTCTTTATGGGCTCAACCATTTTTAGTACAAGCTAGCCTCTGGAAAAGCCATTTCTTAATGTTTTATGCATATGATTATTTAGTTATTGGTATGCTATGTTGTGAACTTGGTTATCAAACTCTAGGGTCAGCATGTAAACTCGTCCCAGTTTACGAGCTCTCTCACCTTCTATCAGTTTACTTGAATGTAAACTCATTTTCCAGTAGATTCGAAATAGAATCTTGTTAACTCGATAGACTCGAGTAGACTTGTGAGTCAGTGAGTTTGAGGGAGGTTTCATTTTTTGGCCCTCGTTTGGCATTTCCTATTTTCTGAACGGATTAGGGTTTGCGCTTTCAGAGGAGCAGCGCATCGCGATAGAGTTTGTGTTTCTCAAAGGAGCACCACATCACACCGCATTCTGTTTCTAAACATTGTCACTGCCTTGACGGGATTTTGCCACTACACTGCATAATGTTTCACCTTCCTTCCACAGCTGCATCACGTTTTTTCTTTGGGGGCGTCAACTGGATTTGCTCTTTGAACAGGTTACCTCTTCATTCTCCCTTTCCTTTGTTTTCATTCCCCTCTGTTGGGAGTTTTCAATCCCTTCATTGTACTTTGTTTTTTGTTCTCCGTCCTCCCTCTGTTTTCGTTCTCCTCTGATAGAGTTCTCTCAATAAATACTTGGTTGTTGTTTTTGATCCCTTTCTTTTGTTTTTCGTTCTCATTTTATATCCTACCATAAAGACTTGGTTGCTGTAATTTTTACTTATGTTTTGTAATTGTATGTTATGTGGTTGGTGTAGATTTGAACTTATATAGTAGTCATGCACTACTAAATTTAGTTATTTTAACATTTTGAAATTATTATTTACTATTTTTGATGATGGTGTTGAAATGTTGAATTGAGATGCTATTATATTTATTTTTTGATATAACATAGACTCGTAAAGTCTTCGAGTTGGGTCCACAAGTTGAGCCAACGGAACTCCCACAAGTATATGTATTGAAGTTTTATAACCTTGGTTGTCAATGTTAATTTCTCTTACCTGTAACCCAGTTTATTCTTTTCATTTTCTCACCTAATGCTTTGAATGATTTGATTTTGCTTTCAGGAATCAAGCTTTGAATCACTAAAAAATTTGAGAGAACGCTGCAAGACTGATCTTGATTCGAATGACAACAGCCATCGTGAAAAACAGTAGTATTCCAATCCGTTTTTCCATTGTAAGATTGCTTGGCACATAAGTTTCTTGGCTTCAAATTTCAATTAATATGCAGATGCTCATATATTGCTTTAGTACCTGTATATTTTTTGTAAACTCGGTGGCTATAATACTTGCAAGTCTACATGTACATTTATCACGTCAGCTGTTTCCACCGATTCCATTATGATTTGAATCAGCATGCTTTTGAGGATAACTGTTCCGCATTTTTGGGAATGTCCTGAGGACTGAAATTTGGCATGCTCTTTCTATTCAAAGTTATTTGGTCTATAGATTTTTTAATTCCTAGATTGGTTTGGGTGACTGTTTGGCAACACTTTTAGGATTTTCTACAATGTTAGACAAGTGAAATTATCTTCTCACAGATTTAGAGTGAGACTGTTGGAAAACATTATATTATATAATTATGGTATAATTGATTCTTTTAATTTCTTATTGTTATAATCTATTATAATCTGAATTGTTATTATTTTTATATAAACCATTTTCAATTAACTTAAGGATTTAGATTTGTCACTACAAGTGCATTCTAAATAATAATAATAATAATAATAATAATAATAATACTAATAATTATATCATAATATATTTTATATATGTAAATATATATTCGGTACTAACCTTGACTATAATATGATTTAAATGTTTCAAAAAGGATTTATTAAATAAATATTCATTTTGTGCATTATATAAAGCTCATTTTAGTTTCATAGAAATATTAATGTAAGGTTCATTTACATTTTAAAAGAATAGTTTATTACGTTGTGGGGGAAAAGTTAAAAAAAATCACTGTTGTGAATTCAAATCTATTCTATCATTTAATTATAAATTATTATTGGAATAAGTCTTAAAATATAAAATTTAATGAATGTATCAATGTCTTGTAGTTAGACAATAAACAGAATTATTTGAATATAATATTTTCAAATAATTAAAAAATGTGATAGAGATATGTATGCTATCATGTAACGAGTTTTAATAACTACATGAATTTGGAGTTGTTCTAAAATAAATTTAGTATGAAAAAAAAAAACTCAACGAATATTTTAATAAAATCAACAACGTTAATTCAAGGCATAAGATTTGTTCAAATTCATATAGTAGTTTTTATACTGATTATAATTTAATAATTCTCCTGCACTAACCTTTTCATAATTTCGATAAATATGGTGATAGGCATCTACAATTTGAATTTATATTGTTTAAAGGGTATTATGAAGTGATAAAGAACAAATTATCCCAATGATTATTCAATATTATCCAAACTCCAAACGCCCCATAATTGAACCAGCACAACGTGAAGGAAGTATAAAAAGAGTGCACATTCCTATGTTGGTTAATTTCGGATTAGTTTAGGTAGAGATGATTCTGTTTTCTCTGGATGATTTGCCCTTTATTTATTGGGTCCGGACACGAAACCCATTGATAAATACCCCGGAAATTTGCTCCCTCCCTCGCCTGCTCCCAGCACCATCACATACTTAATTTATCTTTTTATAAAATAGATGTCAACATCTGTTTCATTTTCAACGAATATTGACATCCGTTTACATATTTTACATTTTAGTTTATGATTTTTATTTAAAAAAAATAAATTCAACGGATATGGTCACATCTGTGCCACATCCGTTTAATAAATTTTTGAAAAGTATTTTATTTATTATTTAAATAATAATATATAAATTAAATTAATAATAATTATTTTATTAAATAAAATAAATTTAATTTATAAATAATTAAGTAATAATTTAAAAAAAATTAAATAATATTTATATATTAATTTAAAATATAAAAATTAAAATACTAAAAACTAAAAAAAAACAAATTCAACAGATGTGGCGACATCCGGATGTGCTGACACATCCATTTAGTAGATTTATAACAAAATTTTTAATTATTATTTAAATAATAATACATAAATTAAATTAATAATAATTATTTTATTAAATAAAATAAAATTAATTTATAAATAATTAAGTAATAATTTTAAAATAATTAAATAATATTTATATATTAATTTAAAATAAAAAAAATAAAAAACTAAAAACTAAAAAAAACAAAAAAAATTCAACAGATGTCACGGATGTGACATATCTGTTTTAATATATTTATAAAAAATATTTTAAAATTTATTTAAATAATAATACATAAATTAAATTAATAATTATTATTTTATTAAATAAAATAAAATTAATTTATAAATAATTAAGTAATAATTTAAAAAAAATTAAATAATATTTATATATTAAATTAAAATACAATAAATTAAAAAAAACTAAAAATTAAAAAAAAAAGAAACTCAACGGATGTGGCACATCGATGTGACACATCCTTAAAGAAAAGGAATGGAGGTGTAGGATATTTTAAAATATAAAAAATAATTTTGGAATTTTAAAAAAATGTGATCGTGTAGAGAACAAAGTGGGGTGGTGTAGGGAGTAACCTTCGACACCCCGTTCCCGGCCCATGGCCCATGTGGCTTGCAAGCGTGACGAAAGATGGAGTGTCTCAATAAAAAAGAAAAAGACGGGATATATTTATTTGAATTCTTGTACAAAATTATTATTCTGAATGAAGGTAAGGAATTGCTCAATTTAATGTTAGGTTATGAATTCCTTTCTTTCAGACATTACTCTTTGTTCAGATTAAGTACTACAGATGTTTTTATTTTTCTCCATTCTTAAGGTAATATGGTTGTGTTTCATGGCTTTATTTATTGGGAAAATTATTTCTTTACTCTTACTAAATCTAGTTTTTTTAATATTTTGTTTCACATTTAAAATAAGTGTAAAAATATTCTAAAAAACATACACATTTTTTAGGATTTAAAAAGAAAGATGAAAAATAACATTCTCAATTGTTTTGATCTAAAATATGTCGGATAACATCATTAGGATCAATTAATGCTCATTTGTAGTATCCATCAGAAATTTTTCATTAAAAGATGCTTCAAAGGATGTAAGAAGGAAAAAATATTTAAATTGTCTTTGACTTCAACTCCTATGCGATGTGAGACTATTGGGTGTGGTAGGAACATAAGCCTTCAGTCGAAGTTTAAGGGAAAAGACGATTCACCCCTAATGAAGGGCTTATTAGGAAAATTGATGGTTATTCTTAGAACCTCGTGATCGGCCCATGGTGGACGCAAAATTTTCTTATCGAGAACTTGAGAAAAACCTTTGAATAGGTGGCGTGAGATCTGAAGGGGTGGAAGAATCCTGATGCATACTCCTGTGTGTTGGAACACAAAGGGAGATCTACTACAAAAGACTCTCCGATGCTCAAATCAATAAGAGAGTTTGAATCTTTTTAAGTAAGAAAGAGTGAGTATGAGTGAGTGTGTATTTATTAGAAAATACCAAACATATTTATAGGATTTTTGGACCCTAGGATTCATGTGCTAAGACTGGTAATATGATATTAAATAATATCAATAAAGTAATGACTGACCTCAAATATATGATAATAATAATAATGTGACACCTTATATGATATCCTAAATATTCTGTAAACATTTTGGTGTTAAAGAATATCGTGGTGTTATCAAACTAACGAGATTTTCTACAAATACCGTAAATATGTGAGTATCCGCTCAAATAGACGTGTCTTGGAATATTTTTTAACTGGTTCAATTCAATGAGGCTTAATGGGCCTTATTAGGTTGCATCCTTCAACACATTCATTGGGCCAGGTAGGTACATAAGGCCTCTAGTCTAAGGAGTTTGATTAGCGTATGAGAGATGCCCATGTTGGAAATTACTGACCTTTTGACCAAGCTATGATTGTCTTTAAGGGTTTGTAGGTGGACTGACCATTTGGTCGGGTTGTTTGAGGTCATCTTTCAACCATGCAGGTGGATTTGGCAAATTCTATTACCACCTTATCTTAGTAATTTTCGTTGTATGAGTACTATCGACTTGGGCAAACTTGCATTAAACACCTATTTTACGAAACATACTTCAACACTCTATCAATGTATAAATCATTAAATGTATGTACATATTGTACCTTGTCAGCTATGCGCTTTCTCGCTTTATTTGTGCAAATATTAGCAATACCAAAATATACTAAAAAACATTACACAAGGAATAAAAAAGACATTGTAAGATAGGAAGACAATCTTGGAATGTTTCCTAAAGCTTTATGTCCTACCATAGCCGTACAAGATCTAACTGCGAAAGTAATGATGCTCTTCCCAAGGCGTAGATAAGCACATATCTTCGTACAAAATGCCACCTAATATCAACAAAGTCAATTATCCCTGAGTAACGATCATCTATCGAATAAAGCTATAAACGAAGGACTCGTACAAGAGAATACAAGAACTTTTGTTATCCTTTTATCATTACACTGGTATTCTCTTAATAAGCTTACATTGTCTGAGTCTATTTATAGAATAAAAATAAGAACTTCACAAGTTCTCAGATTTCCTTGTATTATATTTATCATCTCACTAATAATTATCAGAACTTCTACTTCTAAATCAACACTAGTTGGGTTTGGGAATTCTGAACAGCATTAAAACACTTGTATTGTTTTGCTCAAAGAGTTAAACGTTCTAAACAATTGTCTAAGGTTGATACTAGGAGTGATTAGAATAATTGGATACTAGAAGTTGTTAGAATACTTGAATACTAGGAGTGGCTAAACTCAGACTGATAAAGATTGACTAGAGGGACCAAGAGTGGTTAGAATACCAACAAATATTAAAAAATATATTTTTTATACATTTTTAAAATAAAATTACAAAAAAATTTATAAAATTGAATATAAATTAAATTAAAATTTAATTTTAATTAAATTTAATATAATAAAATATAAATAATTTTATTTTAAATTAAATTTAATAAAATAAAATATAAATTAAAATATTATTTTTATTTTTTGCGGGTAATGGGTAGTGGCGTGTCAGGTAGTATAATACCTGCATCCGAACCGTTTTTAAATGAGTATTAAAATACCAACTACCCGTGAGTAATAAATATGCGCGAGTACCGACTTACAGTTGCAGATTTTATCAACGGATATTCGCGGGCGCATGTTTTTTTGTCATTTCCAGTGAGAACTGACTCATTGAGTTTATAGTCCTTCGGTAGCTCTTTCGTGTCACTTTAGAGCTTCATTCGCCAACAAAACCTCTAGTGATGGTGTGAACACTACCCCTTACTTGGGTAGGGTTAGGTTGGGTCTGGATGATCCGACTTCGAATGACTAGTTTTGTGGTTCAACTATTGTCGACCTCGTCTGTAAAACCGCCGCATCCTCTACCTTAACCTTCTCCTGTGAAGCTGCCACATCCTTTACCTCGACCACCATTTCCTTGCTTATTGAACTTGGCTAAACACCATAGTAAATCTGTTCTTCAATGAGATCCCTTAGATGTCAGTATTCCTAAGTGGTGTATCCTATGCTTTGGTGGTAGGAAGATCTTTTCTGTAGGATCAACTTCATGGGTAGGTTGTCGAGGTTTGAATAGCTAGATGAGCTCAAATTTGCACGTTTCTTTGAGTATGGTTTCCTTTTTAGTATTCAGGAGAGTGTATTTGTTGTACCGGGCTACAATCCAATCACCCGCATTGTTCTTCATGCTCTTTCCTCTTGTTGGTATGTAGGGATTTTTCGCCTTCTTTAGCTTGTTTTATTTTTTCAATAGCCATGTATTTGGTTGTTCATTCTCTTAGATCATCCATGTTGTTCAGCCTCTCTATAAAAAGAAAATCTGAGAAGGGTATAGGCTAAAAACCATTATTCAAAGAGTGCATGATCACAAATGAACTAAGTTCTGGGATCGTGGTCGTCAGTGGATCTCTACATAAAGTGTTTAAGTGTCTTTTTTCCCCTTACTCTATCTTCAAGGTGGCCGACATGGTGGGTACAATTTTGTGGTCCACGAACTGGGCCCTAAACATCCTTTTATGCTGAGTATGAATATTGACCTGGATCAGCTAGCCCCTCAAATGGGTGGTTGGGTTGGTTGTTTCATTGTATTTGTGAATGTTGATAAAGATACCCTTTGGAGTAATGCTAACTCTAAGATTTATCGATTTCCTTACTTAAGGAGGGAATGGGGGGGGGGGGGGTGTTTTCAGATTGACTATGATTTCTAGTTTGTGAGGGAGATTTTGTGTTTGTCATTAAATGTCAAATTTGCTCTATTGGTTGAGAGGTCTTTCGCCTAGGACGAGGATGTGGGGGAGGCCTCTTGTTCTTCGGGATGACCAACTTCTAGTTTAGTGTTTGGAGGTCGGCCTGATGTTGGGCACGCATGGTAGCGAGCTCCTCATCGTAGTGTTTGTGTTGTTTTTCATTCTCATGGATTAATGTTAGTATCTGATTTTGAAGGGATGCCATCAGGTTGGATTCCATCTTGTGTGGCAACTAAGCTTGGCTTCGAATGGTGACCATGGAAGAGTGAGGTCAGGACAAAGTTTTATTGGAGTCTCACAGTGACGGCTAATGTTTCGATCCCAAGTCAGTGACATCGTTAAGGTCAATCATCCCTCATTTGAGATTTTTTCCTATTTTGAAGCATGTGTCCGTCACGATTTTGTCTATAAAAGACATATCAAAATGTAAAATAAGAAAAAAAAATATTTAAGTTGTCATTAATTTTAACTCCTAAACGATGTAATATTATTAGGCATGATAATAACATTAATAAAAATAATTTTAGAAATATCATCTTCTTCGTAACATAATTAATTTCACTAAACTAATATCTCTTAGTTACTGGCTTGAATTCCATTTCCTCTTCTTGACCAAACCTCCATAAACAACTAAATGATAGCCTACATCTCCAATTTTATATCATTTGTTTGACTTCAAATTTTCGTTATGAGCCATTTCACTCCAACTTCCTGGAAACTTCGAAAAGTAAAATTGTTCGCTCTAATTGTAATAGAGCTTATAATAATTGGTATAGACATGGAAATATATTTTTAAAATTGCTCATCATTAGCGCTTAATAGAGATAGATTACAACAATAATTGATTCCATTGCAGACAACTTTGAAGATCTACAACTACGATTAGACAATTGATTAGTGCATTAGTGTGGTTCGAATATGATTAAGGACGACATGTATAGTTTATGTCGTTTTTATGAATAAAAAATATAAAAAGTTGTCACTGTTCTTGCAATTCAGTATCTATCGTTTTTACCAAAACTGGAGCAGAGACTCTAAACGGTAAAATGGTCGACAAAGAGATGATAACTATAGTTTTCAATATATCTAAAATCAGTTATGCTTCATCATTTCACCAGAACCTTCAGAATTTCGAGTGAATTTGTAACTGCGAACATTATCTTTGTATAATATTTTCTTAAGAAAATATTCTCATTCAAAATTGATTCTTAAATCAATATTTACGAAAAAGCACATTCTAGACGTTCTTTCATAAAGAGGAGGGTTTTATTCTGTTCTCTTCTCAAAACGTAAAAGTATTCTTTTACGTGTGAAATTTTGAGTAAAATGCTTACTCTTATTGTCATGTAACCAACAACTCTTGTATTATTTTTCTTCTTTTACTAGATTCCAAAATCGATTCACCAACTATTGCATTTCAGCTCATTACAATGAAACAGTTGCATACATGTTAAAATATTTGTTTCGTTTTCTTTAAATTATAGTTTTTGTTTCGTTTGGAGGTGTTTTAAACTTCCACATTTAGATAATATTTTTAATGAGTATTATTAGTGTAACATATTTTGCGAGTCTTCTAATACCATATTGTCATAAATTATATGATAACTTCGTCATTTCATGAATGGTTCGATATACTAAACAAGATGATAATATATTATTAAACAGTCATATACTTTTTTTCTCATACTGACATATTATAATAATTAAAATATTATTTTCACATCAATTATTAAAATTTTTTAATACTTGTGTTTTTAGAATGGGCTAAGACTGTGGGGACGAGCAAATACTTTATATTTCTCCACAAATAAAAAACATTTTTTGTCGTGCATGCACTAAATCACTTTGCATTTTTTCCCCTTTAATTAAATTAATACACAGTTCATGTTTGAATAGTTGATGAAGAGTTGGGTAGTTGGCATTTTCTATGCGAAAAGGTCTTTCATCGAGTGATGTATTATTATGTGGCACATATGTCAAAGTCGCTTTCTCTGCCTTATTCTAAAAAATGACGCAACCCATATGATAATGAAATTGTTTTATGGAGTAATGAAGCATGAGAAAGTAGCTTTTTTTATTCTCGTTTATAGGTTTCTTCTAATTCAACTATCATTATATATAATAATATGACAAAAATTGAATATAAACTTTTTCATTAAATAAATTGTAAAAAGGAAATTTATAAGCTATAGGTTGAGTCTTGGAATTTGAGAAGGAAAATTATAAGTATGCAAAGGTACAAGCATGGAAGTGGCAGAAGTTGTTTTTGCGTTCCTCGAAAGTGATTTCCACGTAGGAATCGACGTGTGAGGGCGTCAGGGATGGCCCCACACTCTCATTTTTTTTTCTATAATTCATAATTATTCCTCACTTGAAATATAGAAGAAGGGTTTAAAAACTTGTTTGAAGAGTAACCGATAAACGACGAAGTTTTTACAACTAAGATGATGTGCAATTAAAAGAATCTCGAATGAAAACTTTCTACGAGAATAAAATCTTTTTTTTTTCTTTTATGAATAAAATATTATTTTAATAGAAATATGTTTTAAAATAATATTTTAATTGATAAAGATGTAAATGGAAAAAAGAAGGATGGAGATGGGTCCACAATGACCTTTGGGAAACGCGAAGGGAATAGGATCCAAAAGTCACTTGCCCTCTCCACAAAAGAAACGCTTGCAAATTGTACTTAAGGGAACCATGACCCTACAATTCGTCAACATTGTGGCGCCGCAATTCATCACACTGTTATTCCGATAACTACCTCTCCACGTTTTTCTCTATGCAATAATCTTCAAACTGTCTTTCTTCATCGTCTAAAACATACCAAAATAATACACCATACAATATTCACTGAATTAAAGTCGTTGAAATAATAAATTAGCAAAAGGTTAACGTCAAATTCCTTTTCACTCACGAACCTAAGGTGGAAATTCTTGACTCAACTCATTTATTTCATTGATTACAACTATTATAGATGTTATAAGAAGTTGGGTAAAATAATTTCTTTTAATCTATTAAAATTTAGAGTTGAGAAAAATGTTTCTCGTGTTTAATTTCACATTTTAAAAAACATACAATAACGATGGAAGCATCTTTAAAAAACAATTTTATAGATGAAGATATTGTTTTAATAAGAAAAGAAGATAATTGATGTGGTAAACGACTTTTTTTTTTTAGTTAAAAAAAAACTCTTTTAAAATTTAAATAATTGATGTGTGGTATGATATTGATTATATGTAAGTTGGAAATATTCTGATGGGTGTAACCAGTGTATGATCGACACGTGTAAGGTAGTAAGGAGGAATGCATAGGTGGCATTCTTCAATTGGATAGCCATCTGGGAATAAAGGAGTGGTTGAAGTTGACGCGCGAGTTGAATGATGAATGAAGAAGAACCCAGGAGACCAACTCCCACCTTAACCTCAGTATATAAACCAGCCTTCACTCACCGTGCTAACGCAAGAGCCAAGCTCACAAAGTGAGGCCAACCAAACTACAAACTCCTTCTACCTCTCTCTTCGCACCAACAGATTCAGCTTTTTAGATTTTCAATTTTCTTAACAAAAAAAAAATGAACAACTACTCGCAGCTTTGAGTTTTTCACTTCCTGTTCTCTGGTTTTGGAATTGAGACAGGCTCGTAATTTTGAAAACCTCTTTTTTTTTTTCTTTTCTTCTTGGGATTTTCTTTTGTTGTTGTAAAACATGGCAGCGGCTATAGGTATGTACAACAACAGCAACATCGTACCGGAATTCCTAGATCCGTACAGTGAGGAGCTGATGAAAGCACTTGAGCCTTTTGTTAAAAGTGATTATTTCTCTGTCTCTTCTGATTCCGCTTCTTCCTATCGTCGATCACACGCTCCTTCTTCTTCCTCTTCTTCTTCTTTTTCTTCTCCATCTTCTTCTTATTCTCTCATTTCATCTACTTCGTATCCCTCCCCCAACCAAATCAAGCTCAACAAACTCACCCCAGACCAAATCCTCCAGATTCAGGCGCAGGTTGGGCTTCAGCAGCACATGGTTTATTCGACTCAACGTGAAAACCAAAACCAGCTGGGCCCAAAACGTGTTCCCATGAAGCACGGTGGCGCGGCGGCGAAAGCCACGAAGCTGTACCGCGGGGTGAGGCAACGGCATTGGGGGAAGTGGGTCGCCGAGATCAGACTCCCGAAGAACCGGACGCGCCTATGGCTGGGAACATTCGACACCGGAGAAGAAGCGGCGTTGGCGTACGACAACGCAGCGTTTAAGCTCAGAGGCGAGTTCGCGCGCCTCAACTTCCCTCATCTGCGACACCAGGGAGCGTTCGTATTCGGCGAATTCGGAGATTACAAGCCTCTACCTTCTTCCGTCGACTCCAAGCTCCAAGCTATTTGCGAAAGCTTGGCGAAACAAGAACAACAAAAAACGTGTTGCTCTGTCGAAGACGTGAAGCCCGAGGTACACACTGCTGCTGAGCTGGCACGGGTGGAGTCTGACGTGGTGCAATCCAACGTTTGTCCCGAGTTCGAAAATTTTAAGGTAGAAAACGGGAACGACAACCCAATGTTATCATCGCCGGTGTCTGGCGAGTCGTCTTCGCCTGAATCGGGTGTGACTTTCTTGGATTTCTCGGACTTCGCACATTCTAATTATGAGTGGGATGAAATGGAGAGCTTTGGGTTGGAGAAGTACCCTTCGGTGGAGATTGATTGGGCATCTATATGAGTAGGTGAACTTGTGAAATGGCTGGTTTTGTTTTGCTCTGCTTTTCGGTTTCATACGCAGTTATGTTTTGTATTTTTTAAGGTTATGTTTGGGTGTCTTTAGCTGCTTCTGCAATGGAATTTTTGACATTTGCGGATGTTTTGCGGAAACACGGCTTGCAAATTTTAGGCAGTGAAATCAGAGAAGGTGGTCTTCATGGTCTGCTGGTGTTTTTTGTTACTTGCATGACCATGGGACCTTTCTACTCGTGTCTTCGTTCTATGTTGTAATTAACGTTTACTTCCAATATATGAAAAATTTACATGTTCTTGTAAGTGATGTTGCTAATACTTGTTTTATACTGAACAATTGTTGTTATAAAAATTCGCTGACATTTAATGACTTATAAACGGGGTGTTTGATTCTAGCAAGGACAGTCGTCAATTCTTAGTGGTGCCAAATTGTTTGCGCAGCTTTGTTTCTCCTCCATACACGAGTTTCATTAGTTCTTTGTTTTTTTTTTTTATATAATCTTTTTGACTGGTGCTTAGTTGAGTGTTAATTAATTAATACAATTTACTATGATTTTATTTATGCATATTTTTAATATAATAAATACCTTTTATTAGTGTTTAATTAGCATGCGTGGTTAGTAGAGAAGATTCCTATGGGCTACTAAAAACTTATCTTTTATATGGCTTGAAAATTGTTGTCATAAAAAGTTAACAATTTTTTACAATATTAGTGCTTGTAATATTTATTTTTCGATAATTTAATGTTTATTGTTTTAAAGGGAATACTTGTTATTATACGGGTAATTCAAAGACGTATAAAAATTATCTCTTTAATCTTATTTTCCCTTTTCAATTTAAAACAATATTATCATGTGATTTTTCATTTAAAAAGTAAGATTAAATAATGCTATTTTTAATTAAGATATATTTGTAAAATGAAATGAAAAGGGTGTTTTTGATGCTTCATGTTATATTTTCTTTTGTGAAGGTTACGAACCTCCTAATGCCACATTAAAAAGGTCAAAGGGAACTAACCATTCTTCGTCAGATTATTGAAAATCATTTTATTAGTGTCAACTGTGTTATTCCCTTCAACCATTCCAGAGAGATTGGTGGGACTTGTGATTCCATTTCCGACATAAAAAGCAAATTAGATTATCAACCACTAAGTAAATATCTAAGTGTAATACAAACAGGTTTAGAAGTCTAATGAAAGAAATTAATCTCCCGATGAATTAGAATTAAAATTAAAACACCGCTTTTTTGTCAACCAATTAAAAATAAACGATATTATTTTGCATTCATGCTGATAAAAAAAAATTATGCATTCATGATTTATTATACATATACACAAAATTTAAATTTATAAAATCTCACATTATTAATTAGTTCGTAATAAAACCTTCAAAGCAACATATCCTACATTTTCTACACATACATTTAACATCATTTATTGTAAATTAATGTCTGGCTTCAAACTTACTTTATCTTCCTAAAAGATTCCTTTACAGTAGAACATTATTAATTATGACTATATATCGCAATTTTTGTGTAATATACTTCAATAGATCTAGTTGCCTCTAATTTCTTATATACGGTATTAACCAAAAACAAAATTGAGGAGCTGTGAAGCATTATAGAAAATAGTTTATAATTTGTTTGAAGACTTCTCAGAGCTCTCGAAAATATTTTCTACTAATATAAGAAGTTGCATATGCTCATCTCTTTTACTCTAAATTTCATTGTCACAAAATATAACTGTAATTTAATTTCTAATGTGATGTGAATATCACTAATAATGTTATTTGTAATATTATGATACGAAGTTGACTTATAATGTATTTTGTTCTGAAAGAAGAGATAAATGTGTTCTCTTAGCCTTGCCTTTAGAATTATTGTATAGTAAACAATTTAATTTAAAAAATGGTATTTTGTAGTACTTAATATAAGAGTACAAGCAAGAGCAACTTTAATTTTCATAATATAATAAAAACAACAATAATAATAATAATAAAAATAAATAAATAAATAAATAAATAAAAGCATGGGGAATTTTGACAGAAAAGGAGAAAGGAGATGAGGAAGAAGTGTGTGTATGATATGGTGTGGGGTTGAGATAAGGAATTTGGAATTGAAAAGGTGCGATGCAATGAATAAAGTAAGAAAGAATTCGAAAATAGATAGATGCATCAAAATCAAAAACTATATTCTTATTCTTCATTCTCGACAACCACCCCAAGACAAACTTAACACTGCCAAAACGGACGTTGTTTCAAATTATATCTATGGCTTCTTCTATTACAAACTATTTCATCTTTAAATCTTCTAGATAAAGCATTTCATGTAGTGTATATTTTTGTTCCAGATGAAAGCTATATTTTATAAACTTTGATTAATTTATTTTATTTTATCCGAATTTTCATTTAATTAAAAGATTTACTTAATAATTTGGTTTTTATGTTTAAACATTAATTCATTTTTATTTTTATATTTTTTTATTTAATGGTGTCTTTATATTTGTAAAAAGACTAAACGTGATCATTTATGTTAAATTAATATTAACATCATTTAAGAGTATAATATACCAAAAATCTAGGTCTGTATCAAAATCTGGATCAATCTTTCATTTTGAAATCCTTTTAATTTTGAGTTACTGACATCTTTGAAATAGAAGATTATATTTATTTAAACATGTGATAGACTTAGAACTTGACACATGACCCCTCTGAATGTAATATAGAAAGAAATTAGATTAAGTCATTTTTACAAAAATAAATATGTAATTGATTTTCTTTTAAAAATAGGAACCCAATTAAATTAAAAATATATATAGAGTCTAAAACAAATAAAAAACATAAATATAAAAACCAAATTATTAATTAAATTTTTAATCGATTTCAAGTATTATGAATAAAGTTTTCATCATTTTCACTTAATAAGTTAATGTAATATTTAAATTTAGTGAAATTGATGAGATTTTTATCAACATTTATCTCTCCAAATTTCTTATACCATTGTTGAAAAAGGAATGTGAACGAGATCAGAACCCAGCATTGCATTGCATGTTCAACTTGGTAAAAGGATTCTTTGATAGGGGATAAAGCTTAAAGCTTATAGTCCTATACAATATCATGCCATCACCTTGTTTACCACCTTTAATGATGTGGCTTACCACGCAGGCCAACACGGTCAAGTTAAGAATCTTTTTTCATTCCATGCTTTTTAAAGGGATTATTAATTAATACATATTTCCTTTCTTTTCTAAAAGGACAAAATTATCTTATTTATAAACAAATAAGTAGATTCATGTTAGAAAACCCTCAGCAATTATTAATATTCATTCACTTTTAACTACTATACAAGTCCAACTTTACTTAAATTTACTCATTTTTTAAGCTTAACTCAATTTGTACAAGACTATCTCACCTTCCTTAAAATCCTTCTAGATTTTATTTTGTATAAAGCATACAAACAATCGGTTCATTGGTTACGTAAGAACATCTTAATCGAATATTGTGGGCAGCTATCTATTATCTTATATTTCTTTTTTTTTCTTTTTGCATTTTAATGTGATCATCAGGGGCTTTCGAAACAATAATGGGTAGGTTTTTCGCCCTTTTTTAAGATTTTAATTCCTATCTTTAAAAAAATGTATTTTATTTTAGCTCTTGGTTTTGTATATATTTTATTTTGGTTCAGTTTTACCTAGTTCTAATCTATTCATTTAAGATTCCATCAAAATATGTTTTTATTTAAAATGTAAAATTTAAAAGAAGTAAACAATATATAAAATTGAAGATTAGATTAAAATTTAAGATTTTTTAAAATATTTTAAAAAAAATACTAAAATAAAAAATAAAAAGCGAATGAGAGTTCAAAATTGAAATTTAACCTATAATAATTTTTTTTATTGAGGGATATCAAAATGATTGTAATTTGTATTAGAAAGTCCTATTCCCTTGATAGCGGGCCTGCAAATGGATAAGACCAGCGGGAATATTGAATCCAATAGGCCCAACATGAAGACCATAACCCCCTTTGTTTCTCTATCCAAATAATATAAATTAGTTATATAAAAAGCTGTTAATAGAATGGTGAAAGGATGTTGTTCCACTCCCAAAACTTGAACTTTCAGTGTGAGGTTGCATCAAAAAGTATGGGAAGACATGACCTGAAACAGAAACAAAAGAAAGGAGTATAAAATTTTATAATTTTATAGTTTTTTAATTTTAAAGTTTTATAGTTTTATATAATTATATTGTTTTATAATTTTAGGATTAGATTGATATACACCAAATCATGAGAACATGGTTGGTCTACAATAGGAGGCAATTCAGGCCTAAACCAATAAGGCCCATCAAAACAGTTGAAGGATTATATTTAGATCTTAGCAGGTTACACTAAAATGTTTTTCTATTAGAATAAGAGATGGATGAGATTAACTCTCACAAATAATTAAGTTCTTTATAAGACTGATACGTTATAGGAAATAGTTTTGGTGCTATTTACTTTGGATATTGGGTTTTGATTCTATAACCGAAACACTAGGTGAGGTAAAAAAGAATGATATTTTTGTTTCGGTTATCAACCAAAATATAAAGGTTTTTATTATGCTTTGGTTTCCTTAAAATTAAAGCATAAAATGATAAATAAATTATAAAAAATATAAAATAAAATAGGATTAGGTTTCAATTCAAATAGCAACTAAAGCCTACGTTTTTTCTGATTTAGGAAAAATATTTAATTTTAAAGGCATTTTGCATGGATTTCCAAGTACCAAAACAAATACACTTAAAATTAAATAATATTTTATTTCAGAAAGGGTATTAGACTTGGGAAGCCAAATATTATGTTTTAGTTATGGTTATAATTGAACCATAATATAGGCATCTTTTAATATTGTTTTTGTTTTTTTTCCTACGTATTAAACTTGTATAAAAACAACACATTCTATTTATCACACCTACAATATAAGCCAAAACTTAAATAAAAAATATGTTACTTTTACATTAAGTAAATGTGCTAAATATTAATGTAACATATATCAAAGATAAAAAGAAATTATTAAACATAAAAAAATACTTTAACATAATATAAAAATAATAGTAAAAACATACTTACAAAAAATAATTTTTTTTATTAACCTAGGAATACAAAATTAGTTGGAATTGGAAGTCTCACAAATTTTTAGAGTACTAAGTGACAAATTACGTTTAGTGTGAAGAACCTGAACAAAAAAATAATTGTATTAGCCTTTCAAATAAAAAAA